CGTGTCGCTATCGACATACTTGCCCTGGGCAAGCTTTACCAGAAGGAGGTGGAGCTTCCGGGTCTGCTCAGTATTCGCGCCAATAGAAGACTTGTACACTTCACGTTCGCGAGCCAGCTTCTTCTGCAACGTGCTGATAAAAACGTCCCGAGCTTGGACTTCGCAGTGAAGACGATTCAAATCCTCTGCGTGTCGCTCCATAGTGGCTTGAACACTTGCGAGCATGGCGTCATTCTTGGCGTTCGACTCGCGGAGAATCTTGATGTTGCTGTGTAAGGCTTCAATCTCAGCGTTGGTAGCCTTGAGGAATGTCTCCGCGTTCTCACGGGCCATGATGTGGGGTGCCACCGAACGTACGGCGGCAGCAGCCTCGGACTGAGCAAACTGCAACTGACGCTCCAAGTCGGCAACTCGTTCTGGTAATGCCGACAGCGCGTCAGGAACAGGTTGTATCGCAGCAAGGACATCATCGAAACCAACAGCAGTCTCGAGACGACGCTGAGTGTGTATATCGCCGTGGAAAGGAGGCACAACGCTGATCTGCACTTGGTGACGAGCCATTGCAGTCAAGTACGGGATTATCGAGGTCATCATGTGATCGACCGATGCCTCCGTACTTTCAGCCAGTATGGCGCGCAGCGAATCTTCGGTGAGTGGTGGTGAACCACCAGCTGGGGCAGGAGGAGCAGCAAAAGCCATCTCCGCGGATTCAGCAACGACGGGGAGTGCTGCAGGAGCTACCACAGGGAGTGAAGAGTCTGGGGCAGGAAGCGCCGAAGGACCAGTTGATGACGCCGCTGTCGGAGAAAGTGTAGCAGACTGAGGGACGTTCGAACCCTCGGCCTTGCCCTCCTGAGAAACAAGTCGAGTAATGCGAGATGATGAGCAAGGTGCCGATGATTCAAGAGAAGGATGAGCTGACGTACCTCCAGCTGTTCACGTTCGCGACGTCTACGAGGATTGAGACGCTGAAAAGCGTCGGACACGGCTCGATTCAGACGCTTGGACATACGGTGGCGAGATGGTGAATTGAAGAATGAAGAAATGTCACAACGAGCACCAGTACCGTGGCATCCATTGCGACAGGGGCAGTTGTGGTGTAGTGATTTCTCCGTGGTTGCGGATTATCACCCGTAGACAAAGACGTGACACCGCCCAAGTTGTTCAAGCGACGAACCCTCGGTCGGGTGATGTACGGAGACGCCAAGGTGCAAGGGACTCGACGGCGTCACCTCCGAGTTTTCAACAAGTATCGGATACGGCCCTATGTCACTGAATCCAGGCTGTCCTTATTATTAATAATGGACTGGCCGGATTCGCATTCAGCGGACCATCTACGGTACGAGCCCTCAGTGGCGGTTAGGATGAGTTCGCGGAATACTCAGCGACCTTTGGAAGACACGTTCACCGTCTGGGACAGGGCGCGGACCGTTAAAGATGCTCATGCGACGGTGCAGACGACGCTTGGCATGCAAGAAGATCCATAACGGATCATTGTTCACTTGATATTTGTATACTTGATTAGGACTTCTTATTAGGAATAGACCCGAAAGGGTAAGCTTAAATACAGAACAGAATTTCCACTCAAGCACACAGAGCGACGTCCGGCTTCAAGGTAAGCGTCAGGTCAAGCTTGTTTGAGTGTGTTATGCCTGTCGGTGAACTCGAAGCTCTGTAGCGAGGGTTCATCCGGCAAGGCCAAGAGACTTCGTGTATTGGCCGATTATTATCGGGAGGTTTTACGTGACGGCTTATTGTTGCCTATTTGCACGACTGGGAGTGCTTGAATTGCCTCCCTTTTCTTTCTTCTGGCCGAGTGTTGAACACTCGGTGATCTCGTAAAAGGCTTACCCGTGCCTGGTACCCTTCCGCTGTTGGGACCACGAGGATTTAAAACACCTGCTAGCTTTGCTCGTGCTAGTAGCGTGTTCTTATTTTACTGGTTGGCCTATATAAGTAGTTTACAAGGTCCAGTTTGTCCCGGTGCAAGGGCAGAACTGGGGTCTTCAGGTCCACCCGAACGATCGTTTACTATCCTAGTAGACGTATTGTTGTGGGAACATCCTAACTACATCTGTAGCTAGAGTTCACGTGGGATTTCCAACACCACATTGTAAACTGACTATATTTATAGGTAGGTTAAGTTTGGGTTTAATACAAACTATAAGTTACCTATTGAAAATGCAATGTCATTTAACCAATGGTTGGCTTTGAACGACTTTGGTACCTTGTACCAAATATCCCGGAGTATGACATGTCATACTCCTGAAGTGTGAAGTGTCACACTTCATGTAACCAGGGTATACTTAGGGCTAAGTACCCCGTTACATATTCAGTGAGTCACTCAAATTCAAATTTCCCGTTATTTCGAAACTGCCCAGATCGGTCGTATTTCGTACTTAAGTGGATTTTCTTTTAAGGTAACTATTGCCGTTCATTCAAGGACCGCGCTCGGAAATTTTGAGTACACGCACAATGTACTTTGAACAATGAATAACCCAAAACCGACATCGGATTCTAATGGGTGGGTGGGTGGGTAACCCCGTTCCTAATCCCAGCCCACAAACCGTCAAAGTAAATATAGAAAAAGACGCGAGTCACGTTCCATATGCCAGTTCGACGTAGTTTAGGTACTTAGTAGTGTCATGGTGACATCGAGGTGGATGCACGCACGGGTGTGGTGTGGAGCTCTCCCTTCGTACCATTTACTGCCCCAAGACGAGGCGGAACTGGAGGTGTGCCGATTGGCTTTGCTGATAGGGCCTTCAAAGTTTCTTTTATTTGTTCTAACGCTTGCGGCTTTGATCTTAGAAACGAATTAGCAAAGTCTACTTCAATTCTTTCAGGTTTGCGGATCTCCGGATACAGGTGCAAACTGCATAAGCCTCAAAATCTTCAGCACTAAAATCTGATGTTGCGTTCGTGTGTCGTGGCAGATTCGACTCAAACTGAAAGAGTTACCGCAGCCGCCTCTATCTGCGAATCCAGCGGTGTATTGGAACGTTCTAGAGCTTTTTGAAGAGTATCTTCCTCTTCTACTTTCCATTCAACGCTACCATGTGGCAAGACATCCCAACAGCTCACCATCTCCGTTTCTTCTCTCTATTTATCCGCCATTATTTTATGGTCTTGGCGAACTCGATCTCTTCACCGATGGCTTAGTTGGAAAACAACAGCAAATTCAGTTTAGTATCGCAGTTGAATTAGTGCTCGTTCTCTGCTCACTGGGTCAACTGCACGCTTTACATGCCGAGACTCAGATCGTCCAGGGAGGAGAAACGCTAACAACAACGAGTTGGCCCAGACTGCAACACGCTGAGTTGTCGTGGCAGAGTGCAGAAAGCTTTTATCGCTGGGCAGCATCGTACTCGAAGCAGAATAGGGACCATTTTGACTCTAATGACTCACAGTCAGGATCAAACTGGAAATTCTTCCAGGTCGTGGCGATTACTGCCGCTTCTCTGGCACGAATGTGCTCAAGTCACCGACTGTCTACTCATTTGTCTGGTGTACGCTCAAAGTGATACATTTAGCTGCGATCTGACACTTGATTTTTTTTTCTTCTAACGTTCGTATGTTGTATTGCACCAGTTGGCGCTTACGGATATTCGACCTGAACAGCTGTTTCGAATCGGATCTGTCTTTGCTCGACGGGCTCTTACTCTTATTCGTGAGATGAAATCTAAGCAGCTTGGCCGAATAGATAACAGGTGAATGCTACCATTGAGAAATGGCCTGGGGAGCTGATGATATCGAATAATTACGCCTCGCTTTCAGGTTTTCTCAGCAGGTGAAATGGTGTCTAAGCGCTTATGAGGTTCGATGGATGACAATTCACAACCAGTGTGAACTAGAAGTTTATCGGCTGGATGCAAACCCTGGTGCGTTATGTGAGAGGCTCACATTATCTGTCAGCTCCGTACTCACTTAGCTTTCGTGGAATTAACAGAGATAGCGATCTATTACTGTGAGCACCTACTTAAGCTGCGAATGCCACCTATATCCTCGATATCGTCCCAGCAGCAGGAGGTATCTTTTACCCAATTTGCCCATGAGATTCAGCTAAAGCATCAGATTCATCTCACTGAAGCTCTAGATGAAAAGAAAAGGTTATTAGGCGGCTGTCGATCTCGATTTGGAACGATGGGGTCATTTGCAGCGGTTGGCAAGTGCTTGGATGCTAAGCTGTTAAGTATCCAAGAAATGGGCCCAGTATTTAATCAAGAACAGCGATTTATCGATACTATTGTTGAGGAAGAAGAGAGTAACTACGTGTCTCCTTTTCTCGTCGAAGTAATTGCTACGAACGTCGATCAGGCAATTTTGCGTGCAAAGTTTGATGCTCCAGCGTCAGATTTGTTAAACGAATATGGAAATAAAGCATCCAACAAGCCTCTAGAGCGAGGAACGAAGCCCACCACCAACAGCTCCATGGAGCGTCGTATGGTCACAGCAGAGACAGGAATCAAGACAAAGTCTCTTACACGAGCGAAATCCGCAACAACCGCATCGACTGCTGAACAAATGAAAACTCATCCATCAAGTGCAACACCTCAAGGCTGTGGCTGGGTGACGATGAGCTATGGAAGCAAGTTACTACACTTTGAAAAGGCAATGGATCCTCCAGCAGCAGGAAACCAACGAGATATTGATTTAGCTCTGTGCAGACACCTGGATTACACCACTCGGCGGTCTAGACCGCGACCTTCATCATCGCCTAGCTATTTGCCTTCCAGGAAGACCACCAAGCCACTTGATCGTAGCGAGTCGAGTTCAGCCGACCATTCAAAAATGTGGCGAGCACCTTGTGCTCTCTGCGAGCGAAGATTCACGCGCTCCAGTCTGTCTGGGGTAGTCGTCATGAAGCGGGTTTGCGATATCCGTCGCAGATGGGGGGTCCTTCAGAACTCCAACAAGATTAATAATCCCTCAGTCTTATACGGAACAGCAAACGTTTGTCTCCAGTGCCCACTGCCAAGTTGTACTGGGATTTGTAACTCTCACTGCTCACCTGTGCGTAGGCATCCAACACAATTGCGAGCATCATATTCAGCAGCATGAGACTTACGACGATCATGTAACCCCGGTAGTAAAACTTACAGACAAGGGCATACAGCCCCTGAATACTATTGTAGTCGAAGTTCCCGAAGAGCATATTGGTGCAAGTTTCCGTCGCAGTTTCCAAGGACGAGAACTCCTCGACTCTGTCACCGAATAGAATGGCCCCAGACACAGCAAACGTCGCGAAGATGACGACAAAAACGATGAAGAACACACCGAACTGATGCAGTGCACTGGCCACAGTTCTCGTGAGGATACTCAGCTTTTGGATGGAAGCGGAATATCTCCAATATCCGCAGCCTGAGCAGGAAAATGGCAAGCGTGATGATGAGACGCACCGCCACGGTGAGTTGAGCCACCGCCTTGAGTTTGTCAATCACAACGGACAGCCGATCTCGAGCCTCGGCATCAGATGCCCAATTCTTCCTTCTGACAACGAGAGAAGCCAAGCTGTTCCTGAAAATCCTATGAGTAGGAGGATGGAAATCCACACAAAGCAGAAGGCAGCAACCGCTACTGTAGAAGAATGCTCGATAACGACCCAGACGTCACCACAGCCAAGTTTTCCAATACCTGAACGGCGATATCGATATAGTTTGCGGAGTTGTGTATCCAGTGCGAACAGGAAGAAGATCAAGACGACGATGTCCGCAGCGGTGGCGAGCGACTCACTGTAGGGATTGGAGAGAGCAGGTCGATGAACTCGTTTGTACTGAGCCTCCTTCCGATAAAGTGAGCTGCATCTCCGTAACTGCATAACCTTGCAACTCGCCGTTGTATGCGACGATAATGATCAGCAGTTCTTCAGTAGGGAAGTCGAGCCAATCGCCTTGAACCTTGAAAGCGTTAATCTTGCCTAATGCTTCGATCGCAGGCGTGTCAAAGCTTATCAGCTTTTGCTCCGTTGTATTGTTAAACGCGTCGTAGCAGTGAGGATACAACTTCTCTAGGAATGGCTACGTAATAAACGTGTGTGTCGCCTTTCGAGTCACTTGGAAGTTGACGGCACCCAGCACTTTGTTGAACGTGGCTACTCGTCCCCATAAGTCCTTTGGATAGGTCTTACCGTTGTAATCTTGCGTGATGAAAACGGAGGGCACAAACGTGTCTGTTAACCAGTCGAAGGCGTCAGAGATGTGTAGAATTTCATCGCCGAGTCCGTCGTGACCGTGTTAACCTCCTGATGTCCCTAACGTTGACGACAAAGCATAACCCTGTTCGTACATACTCGTCGCCGTGATGTGCGCAAACAGCATCGAGACAAAGGAGCAGAAGTAGAGCACGGAAATGGGAATGTGGCACACGGCTCTGATAATCTTACCATCGTGGCGAAGCGAGTCGTACGCGGTCTGTACCGAGACCTCAAGAGGAGAGGCATCACTAGTTTTAACTTTTGGTGAACGTTGTCACTTGATACGTTAGGGTCCCTGAAACTAGAGATCGACTTCCTCATGCTCGACGATTAACATAAACCTCTACAACAGCTGAGCCAGTAGTCGTTCGGGTGTCGGAGAGACAACGAGAAGAAAACCACATTATTAACATTTTCTCAAAACAAAATAAAGGTTTAAACTACATTACAGTGCGTCTCCTTCTCCCTCACTCGCCCTTGCTGCTCTTCGACGACTTGGTGTCAGCCCCTCCAACCAATAACTTCAATGCCCCAACGACTACAAATATGTTCGCCGACAGCACAGCGACCCACTTGATTCTGGTGGCAATACTCACGACGTTCTCGAGCATCTCCCACCGTTCGGGGAAGAGCCTAAGCAAGTTCAGGATGGAAACATTCTCCACCACGTCACTTGTCGCTGCCAGGACAGGCAACATCCAGACAAGTTGGCTGTCCGGCCACAGACGACGCATAAGTCCCAATAAAGCAGTCGAGTAGATGATTGGGAAGAGAAACAGGTCGAAGATGTAAAAGTCCACATACAACGCTCTCCCCGACACGCCCAGACACTCCAAGTGCGGGAAAATGGCGCCCGGAAGCAGCCAAAAGACGCTATCCAACACACCGCTGCACTGTGGAGGGAGCTCTCGCACCCACTGCTTCTCCATCTGCAGGATCAGCAGGAACGACGGTACCAACGCGCCAAATGCCGCCGCGAATATGTGCGTCTCCCACGTCATCGCTCACTTCAACTCAGACACATAAAATTCGTCCAGACAAAAAATAGTCCATCACAAATGCTTTAGTAACCGGTAGTCAGCTCAAGTACCGTCGTCCGTCGCACCACCAACCAGCCTGGCGACGTGCGTGAACCTCCTGTGCGCGGCTCTGTGGCGCTGCGTCATGACCTCCGATCACCCACCGCCCACGCGCAAGCGCAACCAGCCTTCGGACCTTCAGCAGCAGCTTGAGCGTGATGAGATCATCCAGCAAAATGCTGCGCCAGTGCTCGGCGTGGCTCCCGTCAAGCGACGACGCTCGTCGGCATCCTCAGCTGAAGAACATTCGTCGTCTACAGTTGAAGAGAAAGAACAGCAATCGGCCTGTGGAGAGAAGGAGGTAAATCTGGACGGAGCTCCTGAGGGCAAACTGTTCCTTGTGACAGTCAAGACACGGAAGGAGCTGTTAGAGAGCGAGGAGGTGGCCGCTGAATCTTTGAAACTGGACCAGCTGCTGCAGCTCAAGCAGCAGAGCGCAAATACCAAAAATGCTGCTACTGATGACGATGTCGACGTGGCTTGGGGCCAGGAGTTCAAGGCGCTGGACTCGCTCCGCCGCTTCGCCAAGTATCACCAGGACGAGGCTCGACGTCAATTGTAAGTGACAAAACTGCTCTTGGCTCTGCAAAATAGGTGTTTTGATGACGCTGTAACTGTTGATATAGAGACAATGAAGTGCTAAAGACGTTGGTACTGCCGGCGGCGTCGAGTCTGCGCTCAGCTATGGCTCGTAACGCGCTGCTGTGCGTGCAGGATCTGATCCTCGAACTCAAGGCAGAGACAGCCAACCATTTGGACATTATTGTGCCTGTGCTACTGAACCGTGCATGCTCCGAGAAGCAGTTTCTAAGAGACTTGGCCCGGGAGGTGCTGGACACGACGCTGCTAGCGGGAGCCAATGAGAAATTCTTGCTGCCACTGCTGGCCACAAGCACAACCGAGAAGAGCGCACAGGTCGTCAGTGTGGTACGTCTTCGATTGCTTTAGTGGAAATCTAGTTGGGGTTCCGGCTGACGTGGTCCCTATTGTGAAAGGCTGGATTGTACGTGACCAAGTGCATCATCCGGATGGACCGCCAACGTTTACGCAAATTTCTGCTGGAGGCTCGCGGCTCGTTTTTTGACGAAATGGCAGCTTTCCTCAACTGCAAAGTTGTCGAGTGCAAGGCAGCCACACGACGGACGTGCCAACATTCGCGCCGAGTCATTGGGGTAAGGGAGTCTAGCGACAATCCGTGCTTCTAGTTTGAGCTCAAAATAATTGTGGCTTTTGATGACAGAACGAGGAGTTTGTGGCCTTGGTCAAGGAGTCGCTGAGCGGCAGTGCGCAGTTAGATGTCCTGAAGGCTTCGGAGATCCGCCAGGCAGCAAAATCTGGTCACGCCAAGTCGAGCATTCGCGAGCTTATGATGCAGATGAAGAAGCAGCAGCAACAACAACAGAAAAAAGTGCAGAGCGGAGGGAATGACATTTCAGTTGTTGTGGTAGCTCCTCCATCGTCTCGATCGAAAGCGTCTTCGACCCAGGCACCTTTATCGTTATGACTACAATACTGGGGTGGGCTATCACGCAGAATCTCCCCGTTTTGCTGTAATGGGTTGGTGTGTGCTGCGTGCTGCGTGCTTCTGACGCCGAAGTGGCAGTGTGATTGATTTCAAAATGGTCATTTCGCCTTACAAATCTGCTGCGTTTTCCCATGAGCTGAAATAGCAGCAGTGCTTCTGCTGAGCTAATGCAAGAAGGCTCGTTACGCCTGTACATGAAGAGTTTAATTTGTATAGCCCCTTTCAAATTCCCGGCTGGGCCTCGGTGAAATCGCGATTGTCTCGAGGCAGCGGGGCCGTATGAATGAAGTCTGATATCATTCACGAAAAGAAAGAAACACGGAAATGCTACAGTCCGTGCGTCGACTCCGGTTATTGTCTATGTCATGCTGTCCATGATTGTAAAATATTTTCATTCGGTAATTTAAACAAATCCATTCGTTGAGTGCATGTATTGTCCAACTCTCATGCGCTATACATGTACAGTTGTGCACGCAGGGCGGACCATATCAACAGTGCCAGGGCATAAGTGCACAACGTAAAGCAAAAAACAAACGTAAAGCAAAAAACAAACGCAAATCCAGTGCACTGATATTTTTTTTGTTAATTCAGTACAAAATTTACGCCAATCTTCTGCATAATCTTGGCGTCAGACGCGAGAATTGCAGGCGCGCAACAGCGCTTCCGGTCGCGATAGGCGTCCGGCAAGGCGGCAACGTCCGCCGTCCGCTTAAGAATACTCTGGACGGTAGTGCGCTTTACAGCTTGGGGGGTCTTAAAGCGCTCCGTTGCCCAACGAGCAAATTCGGAGTGAGAGCATGCAGGATCTGACTTGCGCTTTCTCGCACAAAGACTGCTTTTGTGAGACATGTAGGAGGAAAGGCGATGTCCCATTGTCTTTGGCGGTAAAAATCAAAGTGTGTGCTTGTAAGAAGACGTCCGATCCAAAATTTAAAATCAGATCGATGCGGCATGTCATCGAGGGGAAAACCGTTGAGGTTAATTGCTAGAGTGGTGATGGGCAAAGGTAATTGCGCATCCGATTCGCGTAATCATAAAATCTGGCAGGGTATCGACTGATACCGGTGCCGAATTGGAGGTGCACGAGTAATAATAGGTACCGGTACAAATCTTTTGTGGTGAAGTGCTTTCTCAGAAATAAGAGAATGGTCCAGACGCGGGGTCACTATCCCGAATCAGTGACAATTTCAAGTGATTATAGAGGATTTGGGTTGTTTGGCACGGGTGCAAGTTGCCTGTGGTGGATTAGCCATGGCGAGCAGCACCCCGTATGGAATGACGATGGATCTGATATGAGCGATGTACGAGAAGGCAAGATCCACCAAGACTTACCTCGGATCCACCCTTACCTGGATTCACTAAGATGGATATGGGATATACTATACAAGAGTGGATCGAGTGCGGACCTATGAAGGAAGGATGGTCGGTGCTCTCTGACGGTGGATCTAGTAGCCACGGCTAATGAAGAGTCAAGATCCACCGCGAGGTACCCCGGATCCCATACCTCCGAGTTCGTATCCAAGGAGGGAGGATCCCGCCTGGAGGGACCTGGATCCAGGGTATAGGGATGAGGGATACAGTGGATCTCGAACTTTCGTGGGACAACGGAGATCACAGATGGTTGCGAGATGATGTTGGATGATTGGAGAGCTCGGATCCACGGCGAGTGTACCATTACAGTGAGGTGGATCCAAGCGACCTGGATCCGGATGAGTGTACCCATAATAGGGTGACCATGATGATTACGTCATATATCCGGTGGATCTGAAGATAACACAGCTGGGATGATGGGTCAAGGGAAGAAGGGACATGCAGCCGAGCCTGGTAAAGGATTTAGCAGATGAAAGACATAGAAGGTAGAAACCCAGGCAGGTATAGGCTTAAATATCAATACAGACCTCAATTTGCACAGTAACACGCAAGTGCCTTCCTGCCCTCAAGAACCGGAACTACATTGGCCGTACGAGCTAGGAGAAGGTTGGGAATTGCGAATCTAGTGTTGGTAGTGATAACTGGATAATACATTGGCCAGATCCTACAACCTAGTGAGCTTTTCCTTTACTTGTGCAGATCCGACAGGTTAACCGAATTTACTACTTGGTCGGTTACACCCTAGGTCAAGCTGGTCCGACAAGGATCTCGAGTTTGTGTATCGCCACCAAGCTCTACGCGATTTCCTGCATCAAGATCCTGTCATGCAGATCCTGAATCCACGACAGATCGAAGATCCAAGGGAACCGGTGGGAGCACCAACGAAAACGGCGAACAAGTTGGTGGCAGTCAAAGATCTATTACGTTTGCTTACGGAGTCAGGCATCGTAGCTGGTGTGTTCGACGCAGAGGATATCTTCGAGCTAGACCTGGATCTCATAGTATCCGCGACGCGGGACCTCTTTGCCAGAGTGAAGTCCATCACCGGAGAAAGGTCGCGCACTATGGATCCAGTGTCGTCGCCGAGGATCAGCCAAGCTGCGTCCTCAAACTACGAATCCGCCGCTGAGGATGAGTCAGACACGTCGTCCGAACCACGACGCATGACTTTAGGACCCTCCGGGGCATCCATGCTGGAAGCGCGGGCGAGGATCCGAGGACAGGAAGCCCCTGTGAACGTGAAAGCTCGGGATCCAGTACGCCCTACGCGTGATTTGACACAATCCAGCCAGGATCGAGCCAGATCCGGCAAGAAGCCAGTGGGATTATCGTCAGATCAGGCTCGAGGTAATCGCCTCACGGATCCGGTCTCGCCAGTGGACCAGACGGCCACAGGCTCTTCCGACACTTCCTCAGGCACCCTGCAGCGACACTTCGAAGCTGCGATGAATCGCTTCCTGGCCGAACAGGGTATGAGAGCGCCCGTGCCACAAGTGCAAGTGCTCCACGAACATGGAGCACGGGACGTGGAGATGGAGTCAGTAGAGGGGGACAACTCCCATGATGAGTTCGACCCAGACGATCTGGATGGCCCATCCACTTCGGCAGCCGTGGTAGCAACGGCCACAGCCGGGGCAGGTGGATCGTCCATGATCCAGAGGGTACGGATCTCAGCGATATCGGATCTGAAGGAGTTCACGGGCAAGGATCAAGATGAGGACCGAGCGAGAACATGGATCAGCAAAGTCAAGTCGGCCCTCATGAGAGATCAAGCGTCGGATGCTGAGAAGTGTCTGACCTTTGCGGATCTGCTAGCGGGGCCAGCCAGGAACTGGTATCGGCAGCTGGGCAGATCAACCAGGAACAAGTGGCCAGATTTGCTGCGCAGTTTCCAGACCCAGTACTGTGGATTAGGAGTGTCGGTGGCACGACAATACTACCATGCTCGCCGCAGATCGGATGAATCCCCGTTGGAATACCTACATCGACTAAATGTGGCCGGTCTACGGGCCAAGTTGAAGATCAAAGATGGGGGATCCAAGGTACTGCGGGAACACGTGGATCATTTCATCGAGACGTTGGGAGATGTGGATCTGGCCGACAGGCTGACCCTGCTACGACTTCCCGACGCAGACGAGCTTGAAGAAGTACTGCGGGCGGTGGATCGCGCGAAACACCGCCAGAAGAAGGCGGCGGTCGGGTCCGGCAAGTATCGCCAAAAGGCTCCGACGCCTACGGCCCCAGCTCGACGTGTCCACCAAGTCACGGCGCCCGACTCAGGAACTGAGTCAGGATCCGACGGCTCGGACTCCGACCCTGAAGATTACCGTCGAGTCTGTCTCACTGCGTCCAACGATCGAACGGCGAAGACGGGAGACAACTCTCGACCGGGGGATACCGTACTCGGGGACCGTGGGATGTACAGATCCCGAGATCTCATGGACGGGGCAGCACAAGTCAGGTGTTCGCAGTGCGGATCCCGGAAGCACACTGAATCTGGATGCTGGAAACATCTGGTCTGTGAGAAGTGTGGCAAGAAAGGTCATCCCGGGGATCATTGCTTCTACGTGTGTCGCGGGTGTGGCGAGATTCACGACGTCGGCAAGTGCCCGATGGAAGAATTCTACAACCAGATCCGCCAATGGTTTGATCCAGCCAAGCACCGAGGGATGTTGCCGGAAGTGGCAGAGAAGATGTTAAACTAGGACGCTCGCCGGGTTTGAATCCGGTACGAGCCGAGCGTTCTAGGTACTGCATTTATGCATTTGTGAACAAGACATCGCTAGATCCAGGTAACAGGACCCTAGATCCAGTCGATAATACACGTGATCTACATGAAGTGTCAGTTGCCAGGGTCTCTAGTTTGCGCCAAGTGGACGAGTTTTCCAGATCCAAAGTCTCTTCAACCCTGGATCTACAAAGAGGAGAGACACGTGGTTACTGGGAGAAACGCCAACATGGTCGATGGTTTGAGCCTACCAAGGGTGAGGTCACTGCAGATCCACCTAAGGTCTGTCTGGTCACTGGATCCTGTGGATCTGAGGATGTTGGATCCATGGATCTGCTAACAGGGGAGTCCCGTGGATACTGGAAGTACCATGCCCCAGGAAAGTGGTTCAGACAAGCCAAGGTAGGGGGCAAGATCAACAATGAAAAAGCAATCCTACTTCTAGATAGTGGTGCCGAGGTGTCTATACTGGATACCGCCTTTGCTCGTAAGGTTGGGTGCCAAGTGGATGGGAGTCGGATCCAAGATTGTGTTGGGATTGGTGAAGGCGTATACCGTACAAACGGGAGAACGCGAATTAAGATCACGCTGGCAGGTTGTTTGGTGTATTGGTTTGACATTTGGGTCGGGGATCTCGCTGGTCAAGACGCCATCCTTGGGATGGATTTCATGGTGCCAGCTGGAGTGAGGTTGGATCTGGCGGATGGGACACTTTGTTTCCCTGACGAGATGCGGATCCAGCTCAGCGGACGGCGGCCGTTGTATGGAGCGAAGATGAGGATCATAAGGGCGGATAAGACCACCTGGATCGAGCCCGGGGAAACTTGGGAGCTGTCAGACCGGTTGAAGTGGGTGGAACATGAGAAACTGTGGGTCACTC